GAGAAACAGGTGCACCCACCTGCTCTCCCTCATGTGACTAGCGGGCCAAGTTTTAAAGAAGTTATTCATACTCAGGAAAGCCTGCATCGTGCCCAGGAGAAGGATGAGCAGTGGTTGTTGAACGTGTTGAGTAAAGAGGGTGCCACTGATGCGGACCTGATGGCAGTTGGGCAGCAATTCTTTGCAGCATTGTATGGACAACCTGCAGACACCTCCATGACTCATGCTCGCTACAATCTATACACCCGTACACGTGGGAAACCACTGCGCATCATGTCACTGCCGCCAACAGGCAGAAATCTCTACCACCATGTGCGTCGTGCCCACCTTTTGGAAGGCTGCCGAACATTAGGGTCCTCCAGATGTTTCCATCTCAGGACCCTAGGATGGGATACCTTGTCCTTGCATTGATAGTGGCACACTGGGACCACCGCTTCTGATGAATGTGATCTGCTGATGCTGTCGAGCAATGGGGGTGGCATGCAAAGAAGCTAAATGTAGCTGTCACCGTGAAAAACTCAGCTGCACAAACTACTGCCTCTGCACAGTCGGTGATGCGTGCTGCAACACATTCACCAAGAAAGAGGCGGATGATAAGGATGACGAGCATGAGTGTGATTATGAAGATCAGCGTGAGGAGCAAGAAGACGATGAGCTAGAGGATTGATTTTTAGAACAAGAACATATGTGTTCCAATCACGCACAAAATTTATGTGTGCAATAGTCATGTTTCTTGATGTTTAAATATCTATTAGTCATTTGATTTCGTCCTAAATATATTTAATTGCATAATTTGTTCACAAATGTTGGTTGCTTTACTGACTGTCATGTTTATAAAGCAGTAAAAGTATAGGGTGGAGTATATTTCACTTAAAAATATGTGTTTAAAATGAATAAATAAACAATAATTATTGTGAATGTTATAAATCTTGATAAATTTTAGTGATTTTACCTTGACCTCTAATGCAAGACCGTGATCCCATATGGCCCATACATTATTAGAATTTATCAAAAATAATAATAATAACTACTTTGCAACATTACCATCATCCACAATTAATATTGGGACAGTTCCGATTCAATTTATTTTGCACGTTACAGACCGAGGGCTAATCACAAAAGTGCAATTATATTTACGCTTAAATGCTATTTATCTGAACGATATTTATTTTTTGACAAATTTATCCATATTATAAGTGAAACTATGTTGTTTATAAAATATTGCAATCCTTTTGCTCTTAAATTAATAAATAAGAAACACCCTCGGTCTGTAGCCCTTGGCTGAAAAGTCCATTTGCGCAACTTTTCAGATAGTGTGCTTTGAGTGGCGCCACCGTTGTTGTAATCAAACTGTAGTCGTTCGTTTTAAAACATTAAAAAAAAATGTTTCTAATGGTGATTGAACCATGAAATTTTTAATTTAGCATCATTTTAACTAGCCTATTTCAACTGAAAATAACGCTAGAACCTAGAGTCAAGTATTCCTTTAAGTTTAGTTTCTTTGTTTCTGTCATTCTGTATTGGAATTCTCCCCCTTCCTATTTAGTTAATTGCAAATTTGAGGCTTTTTCTACTGCCCCAATGCCAATGGGTATAATGCCCATATACATATATATTTCGATATATTGATATATTGATTTTACCCAATATATCGATATATTACTCTATCTTTCTCTATACATCGTTCTCTATACATGTATGTACTTATTATATGTATGCAGATTCGATATAAGCAATCACTGTATATAGGCGTAGTTGTGCCATCTATCGGAGAAGAAAATTGGGTTTTAAACCCGGGGCGGGGTCCCAAACTAAGATTTTGATCATGATCATGATCATTGATGAGTCTTGATCATTTTGATGATTAATGATGTTATGCACCATGAGACTGAGTATCTATATAATTGTTGTATAAGCCAGTTCGTAGTAACAGTCTGCGCATGCGCAAACTTTGCCACGAATTCTTCCGGGACAGGTCATTTGTGACAAAATATTTCGTATTTCGACCGTACAGTACATACGCATGCATCTGTGTCGTTGTAATGTTACAGTCTTCGCGTGTGCACGTACACGTGCGTGCGTGCATGTGCACATACACGTTCGTACGTGCTTGTGTACGTACGCGTGCGTGCATGTGCACGGACACGTGCGTGCATGCGTGCGTGCATGCGTGTGCACGTACACGTGCGTGCGTGCGTGCGTGTGCACGTACACATGCGGGCGTACATGCGTGTGCACGTAAGAGTGCGTGCGTGCATGCGTGTGCACGTACACGTGCGTGCGTGCGTGCGTGTGCACTACACGTGTGTGTGTGTGCGTGCGTGTGCACGTACACGTGTGTGTGTGCGTGCGTGTGCACGTACACATGGCACAGAATACATGTACATATACATACTGAACCGAGAGCGCACGCCGCCCTCGAGATTTCATTGATTTTTGTCACAAATGAGCCGGTGACCTGTGACCTCACACAACCCCTTGGCTAACTACGAACTGGCTTATTTGTGTGTACAAAAGTACTGTGTAAGGTTATCCAGTCGTACGCCGAATGCCGAAAGCAGGTGAGTTTGTAAATTTGTAATGCTAGGCAGAATTATCGGATGACTGAGTGAGATAGTGTATGAATTAGGATTCCCAGTCAGTGCAATTTTATCTGGATATATCATATCTTCTTACTTCCCTTTACTGTTTTAATATATGGAGTTTTCCTGCATATTATATACTAGCGGGATACCTGGCGTTGCCGGGGG